GTCTCATGCAGTCTGGGTCTCGTGTCCACAAACGAGACTCTGACAGACACCCGGAGAGCTGAATTCCGAGCTCGTGTCAGGGAGGGCCCAGGGTCTGCAGCCTGGAGCTTCAAAATCATGCATCTGTCTGGAGGACGGATTCCTACTGCTCTTCTGAAAGAGATTCCTCTCGTAGTAGTTTGGCTACATACCCCTGGAGTAGCCATATTGGCACAGGGTGGTGGGGAATCATGGGAATAAAATAAGATTAAATGAGCAATTCTTTCATCGCTGGATCAGCACACAAGCAAGTTCTCCAACCTGTGGCTTAGCCTTTCTGGAACTTATAAAGCAGGTCTGTGCCTTGTGCTCTGGTCTCTGTGGCCGAGCTCTGACCTGAGGCACACAGTGGGAAACCTGCAATTTCACCCAAGTTGTCCATCGACCAGCATCTGTCAGTAACTTTAAACACAAGGTAAGGCAAGACAAAGGAGAGGCTGCATTCCATACAGCTGAATGTCCTGATACCATATCTCTTGCCACGGGCAGGTGGACCCCTTTTATTTCTTTCAAAGTCTTTCTGCTTCTCTCTGTTGGGATGAAGAGCAGATCGAAGACGCACAAGAGTTAGATGCCTGGGTAAAGTCCACAGTGCTGCCACCTTTCCCCCTGCTGTGAGCCATGACTAAAAACACCAACAGCTCAAGTCAAAATCCCCTTGATTTTCCCCATTGGGAAGTCATGCATGCTGCAACCTTGCACACTGCTGTCCCTCCTGCTGTTAGGGAGAAGTGGACGGAGAAGTGTGATGACCAACAGCGACGTCACTTCTGCACCCAGTTCCAAAGCTGGCAAACCCAAGTAGCTACCATGACCTCGAGCTCCACCCACCCAGGTAAAGCACAAGACAGGCGCCCCAGCTTTGATCTGATGGTCTAGGAGAGGCTACAGCACTGCTCCCCACCTACGGGAGGCCCTGGGCACTGGAGCTACAGGAGCTGGTGGGGTGAGGGGCAGGGAGGAGCCTTTAGAAGGTGAATTTCCTCCCAGCAAGGCGCAGCTGCTGTGGGACAGCATGGACGAACCCCCGGGAGGCTCAGCTCAGCCTGGGGAGGCTCTGCTCTCTGTGAGCAAGTCGTGAAGACGGGGGGTCAGTCTGGGGAGTCTGTCTCCTGGAGCTGCTGCCCTCTCACCATTGCGCACTCTGTGAAATTAACTTTTTTGGCCCTTGGAGTCACAAAGAAAATTCTGCACAGGACCCAGATCAGTCCTTCTGACCCCCCAGAGTGACTCCCCGTCCTTCTGACTTGCCCACCGAGAGCTGAGCCCCCCCAGACTGACTCCCCGTCCTTCTGACCTCCACCCAAGGCCACTGCGCTCAGCCTGCGGGGGGTGTGGAGGATTACACACCAGCGAACAGCCTGTGCTCGACTGGCAGGGGAGGAAGGAAGGGAGATATTGAGGAACAGTAGCAGGGAGGGGAGAATTGAGATTCTGTCTACATTCCGGCAGAAGGCTGGGGTGAAATCTTTGACGTTAATTGATAGCAAACGTTGTAAACAGTTCATAACACCTTATCTATTTCCTAGTGAAAGTAGTGTTCTCTCCGCGGGAAGGGTGATTAATAGTGGCCATCACTCACTGTCCCTGCTCGCTGAAAGGCAGCCCAGAGCCCGGCCCTCCTCTGGACTGTGATAACAAGCAGTAGGAATAATGAGGGCTGTCATTCCACTTTTCACTTTGATGGAAAGTCGTTACTGGAGTCAAAGCTGAGGCCACACAGCCATGAATCAAGCTGCTCTGCTATGAAATTAAAATAAAATCAGGCGGACCGCCTGCTTACCTGAGCCACTTAAAGAGACAGCCCTGCTTTTAGTGCCAGGAGAGCTCCCTCCTTCAGCAGCCCATGTCCTCAATAGGTGAATTCCAGACTCCAAGCTCCTTGTTTTCCTGGCTCTCCTGTTCCCAGGCTTGTTGAATCTATAGGTCACGTCTCACCTGCTCTCACTAGATGGGCGAATGGCCTCCTGTCGTTTGTGGCCTTTGTTGGCTCTCTGAGCCCTGAGAGTGCTGACTCCAGGGCAGGATCGCAGCTGAGGGGCCCTGGTCCTCCTTCGCAGGTGGCCTACACTCGCCTAGAAATTGTAGCGTGGGCACTCTACGGATGGACAAGGGGGCTGAGCCTGGAACAAGCTCATTCTAAGGGTTCTTTACATGAAGGGTTGTGGGAGTATGGAACAAGCCAAGCTGATGAAGCCGACATCCTGGTTCGTTGCAGGAATGAGCTGCATGAGACCCTGCCATCAATTAGGCTCTGCCAGACAGGCTAGATACGGCCAGCAGCCATATCACCCTGCAACTCCCAGCTGGCAGCCCACTGGAGCTCAGCAGGGGTGAGCCTGGTCAGTACCTGGATGGGAGACTCCTGGGAAAAACTAAGGCTGCTGCTGGAAGAGGTGTTAG